GGAGGGAGGGAGGGAGGGATGGAGGGAGGGATGGAGGGAGGGATGGAGGGAGGGATGGAGGGAAGGAAGGAAGGAAGGAAGGAAGGAAGGAAGGAAGGAAGGAAGGAAGGAAATGTTAATTCTGGGGTGCTGCTGGGCGGTGTTGGATTTCTGGGGTTTCCTCTCTCTCTCCGGGCTGTATTTTTAATTATTTGAGATCAATTAAAGGAAATAATGCTTTCTGGATGCCACCAGGCCCCGCCTGCCATTGGCCAGGGCCTCCCACGTGACGAAGAATTGGCTGCAATCCTCGAGTTTAGCAGAGCCAGGTCCCCCCTCCGCCCGGATTTATCGGCAATATAACAATTATAAACAGCCCGAGGACCTTCATCATCCTCGCCATCACAAACCGGGGCCTTCACATTCCTCTCCCTCTCCCCCTCCTCCTCCTCCTCCTCCCTCTCCCCCGCCTACCTCCCGCTTTTTAAAGGCCCTGGAAAAGCCATGAATTTTGAATTTGAGAGGGAGATCGGGTTTATAAATAGCCAGCCCTCGCTCGCCGAGTGCCTGACGTCTCTCCCCGCTGTCCTGGAGACATTTCAAACTTCATCAATCAAGGACTCGACGTTAATTCCTCCTCCTTTTGAGCAAAGCGTCCTCCAGAGCCTGAATCCTTGCTCGGAGAGACCGAGGAGCCAAAAACGAGCATCCCATGGCCTTCCCCAGCCTCAGCCCCCGGCTCGGCCCGGCCCCTCGGCAGCCGAATTCCCTTGGATGAAGGAGAAGAAATCCAGGAAAACCTCTCAGGCTCCGTCCTCTTCCTCCCCACCTTCATCATCCTCGCTGCCGGTGCCCGCAGGTTCGTATCGGGGAGGGGAGCGGGGAAAAAAATGAAATAAATCATAAATTCTCCTCTCCTCGCCCCAAAATCCACCCCAGCCCATCCCCCCCTAAAGGATCCCCCGAGGGGGGGAAATTCAGGGAGCGATCCCTGGATCCGGGGGGGTTTGGATGCTCCTCCCTCCCGCTCATCCCTCGGGGGTGAAAAGAACAAATTGAGGCAACTTCTGCCAAAACTGGGAGCCGGAAGAGCCCCGGGGGGTTCGGGTGGGGTTTGTGAGACTCCGGGGGTTTTGGTTTGTTCTGTCAGAGCTGCGTTTTGTTATGGGGAAAGGGGAAAAAAAGGGGGAAAAGGGGAAAAAAAAGGGGGGAAAAAGGGGGGTGAAAAAGGGGCAAAAATGGGAAAAAAAAGGGGGGGAAAAAGAAAAAGAAAGGGGGAATAAAAAGGGAAAAAAGGGGGGAGAAAAAGGGGGAGAAAGGGGAAAAAGGAAAAAAAAAAAAAAAAGAAAGGAAAAGCAAAGACAACAAAATGCCAAGAAAACGAGGAGGGGGAAGGAAGATGGGTGGGGAAGGCGGGGGTTGCTGTCAGCGGGGTGGGGAGGTGAAAGAGCGAGGGCTGGTCCTACAAAATGAAATTATTCCAGCCCCAAACGCCCCCCGAGCCCCCCAGGAAAAGGAGCAGCGGCTCCGCCAGGCGCTGCTGGGCCAGGGAGCCGCTTTCCCTCGGGATAAAGCGCTGGAAGAACAATTCCAGGATTTCCATGGCTCGGCTCAGGTAAAATCGGGCAGGATCAGGGCGGAGCTGATTGGCCGGGGAAAGCTGGAATAATGAAATCAAAGTACCGGGAAAGGGTAAAAAATAAACCAAAAATAAAAAAAATTTAAAAAAAAAAAAAAAAAAAAAGGGGGAGAAAGAATGGTTTGAAATTCCATTTATCCTCCAGAGTGGCAGAGAGGGAAGGGCTCTAAAGGGAGAGGCCGGGGAGCAAAATCCCTTCTCCTCCCGATTCCAAATCGTCCTCCAGAGGGGGAAGAGTTGAATTGAGGAACGGAATTCTTTGGAAAAGAGAAGAGGGAAAGGAAAGGAAAGGAAAGGAAAGGAAAGGAAAGGAAAGGAAAGGAAAGGAAAGGAAAGGAAAGGAAAGAGGGAAGGAAAAGGAAGGAAAAGGGAAAGAAAGGGAAGGAAAGAAGATGGTTTGAAATTCCCTTTATCTTCAGAGATAGCAGAGAGGGAAGGGCTCTAAAGGGAGAGGCCGGGGATCAAAACCCCTTCCCCCCACGAGGCAAAAGCGATTCCAAATCCTCCTCCAGCGTGGGAAGAGTTGAATTAAACAATTCAGAACTCCTCCAGCCTCTCGCTTTGTCCCCTCCGCTGACCATTCCCACCCCCGGCCGTGTGTTCCAGAGGGGCTGGCGGACAGCAGCGGCTCCAGGAGGCTCCGCACCGCCTACACCAACACCCAGCTGCTGGAGCTGGAGAAGGAATTCCACTTCAACAAATACCTGTGCCGGCCGCGGCGCGTGGAGATCGCGGCGCTGCTGCAGCTCAGCGAGCGCCAGGTCAAGGTGTGGTTCCAGAACCGGAGGATGAAGCACAAGAGGCAAAGGCAGCGGAGAGAGGAGCCGGGTTTGGCCGGCCTGGATGAAGGCAGCGAGCCCGAGGGCAGCCCCGCTCCGCCGGAGCCCCGGGGGAACGCGGGGCCGAGCTCCGAGCAGCCCGGGCCGGCGGCGGGGGAGGCTCCGGACTCGCCGGTGCTGCCGGAGCTGGGGCTGCTGCCGTGCCTGGAGCTTTCCCAAGGCTTTTCCCCGGCTCTTCCCGCTGCCCTGGAGAGCCCGCTGAGGTTCTCCGAGGAGGAGCTGGAATTCTTCAGCAGCGCGCTTTGGAGCATCGACCTGCAGAGATTCGATTAGCGGGGGAGACCGGCTGGAGGGCACCTCAAAATCGGCCCGAAAACCGGGGGGGACACCCAAAATCTGCCCTGAAAGAAGGGAAATTCCCCGAAATTTGGTCTAAAAGAGGGGGGGACACCCAAAATCTGCCCTAAAAGAAGGGAAATTCCCCTAAAATTGGCTTAAAAGAGGAGGAACCCTCCAAAATCTGCCCTGAAAGAAGGGAAGACCCTCGAAATCTGGTCTAAAAGAGGGGGGAACACCCCAAAACTGCCCTAAAAGAAGGGAAATCCCTCGAAATCTGGCCTGAAAGAGGGGGAACTCTCCAAAATCCGGTCCAAAAGAGGGGGAACCCTCAAAACCTACCCTGAAAGAGAGCAGAACACCCCAAATCTGCCCCGAAAGAAGGGAAAGCCCCTGAAATCCGACCTAAAAAGGGGGGGAACCTCCCAAAATCTGGTCTAAAAGAAGAGGAAATGCCCAAAATTTGGCCTGAAAGAGGGGGGAACCCTCAAAATCTGCCCTGCGAGAAGGAAAACCCTCAAAATCGGCCCTAAAATAGGAGAAAAAGCCCCAAAATCTGCCATAAAAGAAGGGGAAACCCCACAAAATCTGCTCTGAAAGAAGGGAACCCTCCAAAATCTGCCCTAAAAGAAGGACCCCCACCCCAAAATCTGCTCTAAAATAAGGGGAAACCCCCCAAAATCAACCTCAAGCCATTTCTCATCCTCCTCCCTCTTCCTCTTCGGAGCTCCGTGAGACCCAAACCTCCCGATATTTATCCCAGAAGGTGAAAGAGAGGCCCGAGTTTGGCTAAAATGCAGCAATTTCACGATAGTTTTATTTATAATTTATTTATTTCCTCCCCCCTCCCCCTTTTATTTATTTCCAAGGTTGTTCTCAGGCACGGCGGAGATGTCAACCCCCGAGAGAAAAATTAAAAATATGAAAAAAGAAATTTTTTCTAAATCCTCCCCAGCCACTTTCTCAGGAATCAGAAGGAGACTTTTAGATTTCGTAATAAAATTAAAATTAAAAAAAAAAAAATTTAAAAAAAAATAAAATCAGGGGAATTTTCCTCCCTCTTTTTACGTTTTAGATGTAGATTATTTATTCAAATCCTTTCACAGCAAAGGGCAAATTATTTATTGTATATTATTTTCATAGAGTAAATAAACGTCTTTATAAAACCGACAAGCTCGTGTTTGCTCCGGAATTCATTCCAAAACCCCGCTTTTATTTTTTCTTTTTTGTTTTCCTCCATAAATCATTCGCTTTTTTTCCTGCTTTGTAATGAGGTTTAATCATCTCCTCGTGCACCCTGAGACAAAAGGAATTCAGAGCAACAATTCCAGAGGCTCCGGGAAATGTTTCCTTCGTTCTGTTCTGCTTTGATTTTTCTCGAGTTTTTTTTGTTGTTGTTGTTGGTTTTTTTTAATTTATATATTTATTGTATTAAATGAAAACGGCGACTTTTTTTTTTTTTTTAAAAAAAAATTTATTTCCCTTTAATTTTTGCATTAAAAGGAGGGGAAAAATCCTTTCTTTTAAGGGGGAAAAAATTTAAATAAACCCCCCCCAGAAAAAAGGGGATAAAGGGATGGAAAAGCAACACAAAGGCAGCGCGGAGCCCACGCGAATTCCCGGCCTCCCACATCCCGCTCTTCATCCCCATCCTCCTCCTCCTCCTCTTTTTTTTCCTCTCGCAGCTCCCGGGGTTCGAAACTTCCCGAGATGCGGAAAAAACGAGGGGAAAAAAAATGAGGATTTTGAGGGAAATCTCCAAAAAAATCCACGCGGGGAGGGCCCAAATAAAAAAGGAGGAGGAGGAGGAGGAAGAGCTGGGCCTGAGAGGGCCCAAATAAAGAATAAATTTCTTTATTCCTCCTCTCTTTTCCAACCCCACAAACCCCGAAACCCCCGGGAGCCGCCATCTCCTCCCAGGATTTCTGCCGATCCCTTGGGAATTCGAACCCCAAAATTCCTCCCGGGGGGTTCGGGGGAGGTTTCTGCTCCAGGAGGGGGCTCGGTCACCCCCAGATCAATCACCCCGATCAATCAGCGGCTGCCGGCCCCGATCAATCACCCCGATCAACCAGAGGATTTGGGGATTTTGGGAGGTTTGTGCCAAAGGAGGGGGTTGGAAATGTGGGGCGAGGGGGACCCTAAAAATTCCCGGAGCAGCCCAGACCCTTCCCCAACCCCTTTTTTTTTTTTAGGGTGAAGCAAAACCCAGTTCGGCTTCTCCTTTTGGGGTGTCCCCCGCGCCCCACCACGGATTTTTGGGCTGAATTTGGTGTTTTCAGTGCCTGGGTGAGCTCATCCCTCCCTCCGGAGTTGGGGAAAAGTTCTGATTTTTTAATTTGGGGTTCAGAGCCCGGCTGGGTTGGCGCTGCGGGCCGTAAAAATTTATTAAAAAAACGGGAATAAAAGTGAAATAAAGAAGGCAAAGCCTGGCCAGATGTTTTGGAAATCGCTGTGGATGATCTCTCTCGGCTCTAACAAAGAGGAGAGGACGGCGGGGAGGGGTGGGGGGGATATTTTACAGCCGCGTTTTTATTCCAAATTATCTTTTTCCCCAATAATCTCGCCAGGCTCTTTTCCCACGGAGCGAGCGATCCCAAACCTCGCTCCGCGGGGGAAAAAAACACAAACCCAGACGAAACGTTGGATCGGGATTAAATATTCACGGCATCGCCTCTGAAACCTCTTCCCGTGGAGAAAAGGCAGCGGTGGCGCTGCTGGAGCCGAGCTCGGATCCGCACGGAGCCATCGGCTCCCCCCTGCCCTCCTCTCACCGCCCCCGAGCCGCCGCTTTTGGGGGAAAAGGGAGGAAATTCATTATTTTGGAGTTTATTTCGTCTCCCCGGCTGCTGCGAGGCCGCGCTGGCAGTGCCAGACCTTGTCTGTCAAAGCGCCATTTGTTCCTGCTCCTCCTCCTCCTCCTCCTCCTCCTCCTCATCTCCAGCCCCATTCCGGGAGCACTGGGAGCACTGGGAGCACTGGGAGCACTGGGAATGGGGGGCTCGGCCCTGCCCCGGGATGGTTTTGGGGTCTGAGCGTCCTCTCCAGGGACAGCGCTGTCTTTATCCAGGTTAAAGATGAGGGGGAATAGCCCCAAACCAGCAGATTTTCACCTTTGAATACCCTTCGGCCTAAAAATGAGGAAAAATATCCCAAAACCAGAAGATTTCTACTCTCACAGGCCTTTTCTCCATGGGAAAGGGGTCCCAAACCCCCCAAAATCCAACCCCTGAGCTCCCATGGATACAAATCCCAAAGGAAAGGGGGAAAAAGGGGTTCCAAACACCCCAAAATCCAACCCCTGAACCCTCATGGATAGAAATCCCAAAGGAGGGTGGGGAAAAGGGTCCCAAATCCTCCCCAAAAGGAAAACCTGAGTCCTCCTGGATGCAAATCCCTAATGAGGGATGGGAAACGGGACCCAAACACCCCAAAATCCAACCCCTGAGCCCTCATGGACACCAATCCCAAATGAGGATGGAAAAGGGGTTCCAAAAACCCCAAAAATCAAACCCCGAGCCCTCATGGATAGAAATCCCAAAGGAAAGTGGGGAAAAGGGTCCCAAATCCTCCCCAAAATGAAACGCCTGAGCCTTCATGGATACAAATCCCAAATGAGGATGGGAAAGGGGTCCCAATCCCCCCAAAATCCAACCCCTGAGCTCCCATGGACACCAATCCCAAATGAGGATGGAAAAGGGGTTCCAAAAACCCCAAAAACCAAACCCTGAGCCCTCATGGATAGAAATCCCAAAGGAAAGTGGGGAAAAGGGGTCCCAAAACCCCCAAAATCCAACCCCTGAGCTCCCATGGATACAAATCCCAAAGGAAAGGGGGGAAAAGGGGTTCCAAACCCCCCAAAATCCAACCCCTGACCCCCCACGGACACCAATCCCTAGCGAGGGCCCCAAAAGGACTCCCCAAAGCAGAGGAGCCGCCCATGGATCCCCCACCCACAGCGAGCTCCGGGATAACCGGGATCTCTCTGGATTCGATCCCCGCGAGCAGCCGGCCCCTCTGATTTGTCCTAATTAGCAGCACCGGAACGTCGGGAAGAGCGGGAACGTTCAATAAAAACGGGAATTCTCAAGCTCGGCCCTCCTTCACCTTCCTCAGAACGGCAAACCGACGGATATTCCGCGCAAGCCGAGGGGGTTTATCCAGCGGATCGAGGCGTTTTCCGCCCCGGATCGTCGGGAAAAAAGCAATTTTGCCGTTCCTTGGCGGTGATTAAGCCGGGAATATGCAAATGAGCTGCTCCCACACGCGTCCGCGCTGGGGAAATATTGATTTGTGCCGCGGCGGGAGCGGGGATGTGTTTGCTGAGGAGCTCCTGGAAGCCCTGGAGATGTTGGATAAACCTTGGGAATCTTCCCTGGAGGAGAAGGCGGGTGGGAACGGGGCCTGGGAGGTGCCGGAGGTCGCTTTTCCCGGGAATTGTGCTGGTTTTAGGGAATTTCCCTCTGGCCTGGCGTCCATCTCCAGGGTTTTGTCCAGGTTTTCTCCCAAAGGGTGGAGCCGGGAGAGCCAACCTGGAACCTCCTGGGTTTATCCCGGGGAGTTTTCCTGCCCAGGAGTTGGAAATAGAGAGGAAAAATGGGAAAAGCTGCAGTTGGGCCCGGCCGGTCCCGCTGGATCCGGTTCTCCTCCCCAGCGGGATCCCGATCCCCGGAATCCAGCGATCCCAGCAGCTGCTCTCGGCCCTGGGTGGAGACGTTCGTTAATTCATGCGGCTGTTGGAGGGCGGGGCTCTGAGCAAGGCCTGGATTCGGGATCTGGGGGGATCCCAAGGGATTTGGGATCTGAGGGGATCCCGGGGGATTCAGGACCCTCAGTGGGATTTGGGATCTGAGGGGATCCCAAGGGATTTGGGACCCTTGATTGGATTTGGGATCTGAGGGGATCCCAGGGGATTTGGGATCTGAGGAGATCCCAGGGGATTCAGGATCTGAGGGGATCCCAGGGGATTTGGGACCCTCAGTGGGATTCAGGATCTGAGGGGATCCCAAGGGATTCAGGATCTGAGGGGATCCCAGGGGATTCGGGATCTGAGGGGATCCCAAGGGATTCAGGATCTGAGGGGATCCCAGGGGATTTGGGACCCTCAGTGGGATTCGGGATCTGGGGCAATCCCGAGGGATTTGGGACCCTCAGTTGGATTTGGGATCCGAGGGAATCTCAACGGATTTGGGATCTGAGGGGATCCCAAGGGATTTGGGACCCTTGATTGGATTTGGGATCTGAGGCGATCCTGAGGAATTCAGAACCCTCGGTTGGATTAGGATCTGAGGGAATCCCGATGGATTTGGGATCTGAGGGGATCCCAAGGGATTTGGGACCCTCGGTTGGGTTCGGGGTCTGAGAGAATCCCAACATGTTTGGGACCTTTTGTTGGATTTGGGATCTGAGGGAATCCTGTGGGATTTGGGACCCTCAGTTGGATTCAGGATCTGAGGGAATCCCAAGGGATTCAGGATCTGGGGGGATCCTGAGGGATTTGGGACCCCCCAGATCCTTTCCCTCCACTCCCGCCCATCCATAAATATGCAAATGAAGCTAATTAACGAGGCCGCTGGCATTCCCAGGGAAGCAGGGCGGGAATTTGATCCCTCGGCGCTGGAAGGAGGCGGGGCTGGAAGGAGAAAAACCGGGAAAATCCAGGGATTTCCCCAAATCTTCCTCTCCAAGCGTTCGGGAAAATCAGAGCGGAGCATCCCGGGATGGGCTCCGAGTCCGGGGACAGCGGGACCCTCCTGTCCCCACCCGGCCCCGGCCCCGTTATTCCATTTGATCCCAATTATCTGGGGAATTCCTGGTTTTTCCCTGTTTTATCCGAATTATCTGGGATATTTTCCCTATTTTATCTGAATTATTTGGGATTTTTCCCCTATTTTATCTGAATTATTTGGGATTTTTCTCCTATTTTACCGGAATTATTTGCAATTTTTTTCCTCTTTTATCTGAATTATTTGGGATTTTCCCTCTATTTTATCTGAATTATTTGCAATTTTTTTCCTCTTTTATCTGAATTATTTGGGGTTTTCCCGGATTTTTCCTATTTTATCTGAATTATCTGTAGTTTTTTCCTCTTTTATCTGAATTATCTGTGTTTTTCCCCAAAAAATGTCACATTTAACCCCAAAAAAGTTTTATTTAACCCCAAAAAAGTGATATTTAACCCCCAAAAAATATATTTAACCCCAAAACAGCAATATTTAACCCCCAAAAAGTTCTACTTAACCCAAAGAAAGTTACATTTAACCCCCCAAAATGAAATTTAACCCCAAAACTCTTGCAATCCACTCCACAGTGATATTTAACCCCAAAAAGGGGATCTTTAACCCCAAAACATGATATTTCGCCCCTAAAAAGTTATATTTATCCCCAAACCGGCAATATTTAACCCCAAAAAAGCAGTATTTAACCCCCAAAAAAGTTACATTGAACTCCAAAAAAGTTTCATTTAGCTCAAAAAACTCCCCCAGCACTTCCCAAGCCACGATTTTGGGGCAGAATTTGGGATTTTTGGGGCAGCCGGGGAGGACCGGAGCATCCTGGGAGGGGAACGGGGCCTTTCCCCATCCTGGATTCTCCCGGAGTTTCCCCCCAAAAAAAGATATTTTCCCAAATTCCCGAGTTTAGAGACCCAAAAAAAGCGATTTTTCCCAAATTTGCAGATGATTCCAGCCCTCAGATGAGAATTGGGGACCCAAAAAAAGCGATTTTCCCAAATTCCTGAATAATTCCAGCCCTCAATCCCTGCTCAGCTGGGCCTTAGGGACCCAAAAAAAGCGATTTTCCCAAATTCCTGAATAATTCCAGCCCTCAATCCCTGCTCAGCTGGGCCTTAGGGACCCAAAAAAAGCGATTTTCCCAAATTCCCGAATTTCAATCCCAGCTGGCTCCATCTCCACCCCCATCAGGCGGCCCCAAAAAATCGGATTTTTCACCTCAGCTCCAATTCGGGCTTCTCTGAGATGAAAATTTTCCCTCCCACAGTTCAGGATCAGGGATTTTTCCTGGATTTTCGGGATTTAAAAACCTCCCAAGGATGGGAAACCATCGTTGGCTCGAGGCTGAAATAAACACCCGACATCTCTTTAAATTATTCTCTTTTTTACCTATAAATCACCATTTTTGCGCGCTGTGCATCCCTCGGTACCCGAACACAATGAAAAATAGAAATAGAAATAAAAATATTAAAATAAAAATATTAAAATAAAATAAAAAATAAAAAAATAAAAAAAATCAAATAGAAAAGAGGAAAAAAGAGAAGAAAAGAGAAAAAAATAAAAGAGAAGAAAATAAAAGAGAAGAAAAGAGAAGAAAAGAGAAGAAAAGAGAAGAAAAGAGAAGAAAAGAGAAGAGAAGAAAAGAAAAGAAAAGAAAAGAAAAGAAAAGAAAAGAAAAGAAAAGAAAAGAAAAGAAAAGAAAAGAAAAGAAAAGAAAAGAAAAGAAAAGAAAAGAAAAGAAAAATAAAGTAATATAAAGTAAAAATAAAGTAAAAATAAAATAAAATAAAATAAAATAAAATAAAATAAAATATCGAATTAGAAATCGATTTCTCTCGAGCCGCTTTGAATCTTTATGCAAAGAAGGCAGCAGAAAGTTTTGTAGAGCGTTCCTAACCTCAAACATTTCCCCCCGGCATCAGCAAAAAATCCGAATAAATGAACAAACGGAAATTTAAATCTTTTCTTTTTACGGAAAAACAGGAGCTGGAAGCGGCTAAAAATCCAATTTTAGCCTTGAAAGGAGGGGGAAAAACCGAAATTTCTCGCCTCGAACGCGTCGCATCAGCGGAAAGGACGCGGATTCTCCTTTCAGGGTGAACTTTTGGCCTGGGGGGGAAGAGAGGGAGAGGCAGCGGAGCTTTCCTGCTCCTCCCGGGAGCGTGGCCGGGCAGTAAATATCCTGACAAGTAACAAATGACTGTGGGCGTCCGATGGCCGCCTGCTCTTGTCTCCCTCCTCGGAACAAGTAAATAAATGTTGCCTACCTATGTTCCCATTCTCTGCCCTCCTCCTCCTCAGCTGGACCCCTCTCGAGCCGAGATCGGCCCCGAAAGCTGAGCTTAGTGCACCAGAAAGGCTTAAAACGCCCAAAAATGAGGTTTGGTGGGGTGGGTGAAAGCCGAAAAATCGGATTTAGAGGGGAGTGTGAGGTGTGAAGCTCCAAAATCAGGATTTAGTGAGGAGTGAGCCCCTAAAAACCGGATTTAGTGAGGAGTGAGCCCCTAAAAACCGGATTTAGTGAGGAGTGAGCCCCTAAAAAGCGGATTGAGTGAAGTGTGAGCCCCTAAAAATCGGATTTAGGGGGGAGTGTGCAGTGTGAACCTCTAAAAACCGGATTTAGTGAGGAGTGAGCCCCTAAAATCCGGATTTAGTGAAGTGTGAGCCCCTAAAAACCGGATTTAGTGAGGAGTGAGCCCCTAAAAACCGGATTTAGGGGGAAATGTGAGCTGGTGAACCCCTAAAATCAGGATTTATGGGGGAGTGTGAGGTGTGAACCCCTAAAAACCGGATTTAGTGGAGAACGTGAGCTGGTGAACCCCTAAAATCCGGATTTAGGGGGGAGTGTGGATGGAGGGAAGGTCCCAGGTGGGCGCCGGGGCCGCTCTCAGTTCCCATCCCGGATTTTCCAGGCCGGGCACTCTCCAACAAAAGCCGTCCTGTCCTCGCTAACTTTATTTCCCTCATTAAAATATTGATCTAATTACGGTGCTTTTAGCCCGGACACAAAGCCCGTGCGGGCAAAAAAATTAAAGCGAAAATGGAGCTGATTTTTCTTCAGGAGCTTTCAGCGGGTTCCTCATCCCGGAAAAAGCCAAACCGCGGTGCCAGGAGCTTTGTCGGGAAAAGTTTCCCGATGAATAAAAGCGCATCCTTTTGTGCCTCCACTCTTCCCCTTTTTTCTCACACCGGCATCGGGGGGAAGGAAGGAAAAAAAAACCTTTTAAAGTCACAAGTTGGGCCTGAAATCGGTTCCCTCGCATAACTCGGGGGCCTTTTTAGCACTTAAAACACTCGCGGGTCATTCCAATCCTTCCCCCAGCACCTCCCCGCGCCCCGCACCTCGCCCCCCTCCTCTTTTAAAACTCTTTGAGGGGAAGATTTTTGACGCCTCGGTGTTGTTATCAGATTGATGGGCCCGCGTTTGATTGAAGCCCCTTTGTCATGCAAATGTCAGGCCCTTGATGGATGAGCCGGGCACAAACTTCGGGAGCCCCGCGCTCATTGGGCTGGGCCCGCTCCGCCCGCGGGGTCCCCCCGAGCTTCCGCGGGCTTCGCCATGGAACTTTCGCGGTTTCCAGGCTCTGCCCGAGGGTTGTAGGGCAGGAGGAGTCCCCCCCATCCCCCCCGCCCTAAACCTGACCCTCCCGGAGCAGCGGCGGATGGACGAGAGCGGCATGAACTCCTTCTTGGAGTTGGCGCTTTGTAACCGCGGCCCCGCCGCTTTCCCCCGCTCCGAGCCGGCCTCGCCTCCCTTCCCGCAGTGCTCAGGTGGCCCCGAGAGCCGCTTCGGGGCTGCTGCCTCCCACCTCCCCCAGCACGGCTTCCACCCTTCATCCTCCTCATCCTCATCCTCATCCTCCTCCCGCTTCTCCGGCCCGGGTTACCCAGCTCATCCCGGCTACCAGCAGCTCTACCTGGGCCAGCAGGACGCGGACGGTTCGTTCTTCCAGGGCCCCGCGGGCTTCGCTCCGGGCTCGCTGGCCGAGGGCTACTGCGGGCCCCCGGGGCAGCTCCAGCAGTTGCCAGCGCTGGGCCAGGAGCAGCCCCCGTACCTGCCCGGCCTCTTCGGCCTCTCGCCTTCCCTTCTCGAGGAAGCGGAGCCGCCGGGACCCCCCGAGCCGTGCCCCGGGCCGGGGGCAGCGCAGACCTTCGAGTGGATGAGGGTGAAGAGGAACCCCCCCAGAACAGGTGAGTTTGGGGCTCACGGTGAAGCCGGGAAGTGTTGGCTCGCCCAAGGATTGGGAGTGGTCTTTAAGGGTTTGGGGGTTTTATTTGAGGTTTTGGGGGTGTTTTTGGGGGGTTGAGTTTGTTTGGGGTTTGGGGTTGAGTTTGTTGTGATTGGGTTGAGTTTGGGGTTTGGGGTCTTTTCTTGGGATTGGGTTGGGTTTCTTTGGGTTTTGGGGTCATTTTTTGGGGTTGGGTTGGGTTTCTTTGGGTTTTGGGGTCATTTTTTGGGGTTGGGTTGGGGTTTTTTGGGTTTTGGGGTCATTTTTTGGGGTTGGGTTGAGTTTGTTTGGGTTTTGGGGTCTTGTTTGGGTTGGGTTTCTTTTGCTTCTGGGGCCTTTTCTTTAAACCCCACCCAGAGATTTTCCATCACATCCGATGGAGCTTCCCTGAGCTCAGTTTTCCGCAGGCCCAGCTCTGATTTGAGCCCAGCTCGGAGCAGGAAACGCTCAGCACTTCCTCCTCCTTCCTCAGCCGTGCCTTCCATCCCCTCCTCTATTGTTCCACTTCCTTCCCCACGAAATTCCCGGCCTTCCTCCTCCTCCCCCCGCCATCATCACCCTCTCCCTGCCCTTCCCCGAGGGGTCCCGGGATGGATCCGAGGGGAAAAGCGGAGCTGGGAGGATGCGGGAGAATATTCCCAAGGGAAAAGTGGAGCCGGGAGGATGCGGGGAAAGATTCCCAAGGGAAAAGCGGAGCCGGGAGGATGCGGGGAAAGATTCCCAAGGGAAAAGCGGAGCCGGGAGGATGCGGGGAAAGATTCCCAAGGGGAAAAGCGGAGCCGGGAGGATGCGAATTCCCAGGGGAAAAGCGGAGCCGGGAGGATGCGAATTCCCAAGGGAAAAGCGGAGCCGGGAGGATGCGGGGAAAGATTCCCAAGGGAAAAGCGGAACGGGGAGGATGCGGGGAAAGGCTCCAAAGGGGAAAGCGGAGCCGGGAGGATGCGAATTCGCAAGGGAAAAGCGGAGCCTGGTGCGGGACGAGAGCCCTGCGTGAGGCCGGCAGGGATGGCGGAGCTGGCAGGAGGAGGGAGAAGGGGAGAGGATCCCTCCGGCCGCTCCTGCCCTGGTGTTTTTTGGGTTTTTCCCAGGCAAAACGTCGGAGCTGGGGCTCCTGGGGCAGCCCAACTCCATCCGCACCAACTTCAGCACCAAGCAGCTGACGGAGCTGGAGAAGGAGTTCCACTTCAACAAGTACCTGACGCGGGCCCGCAGGGTGGAGATCGCCGCCACCCTGGAGCTCAACGAGACCCAGGTCAAGATCTGGTTCCAGAACAGGAGGATGAAGCAGAAGAAGAGGGAAAAGGAAGGGCTGGCCCCGGCTGCCGCCTCCAGGGCGGCCAAGGAAGCGGCCGAAGCCTCGGATCAATCCAACTGCACCTCACCTGAGGCTTCCCCCAGCTCCGGCTCCTCCTGAAACCCCCCGGAACCCACCGGGGGTGGCCCCGAGGAACGGGATCCTCCCCCCGGGGCACCCCCGCCTGTCCCCCCGCGTCTCTCTTTATTTATAACCCCTCTGCGCTCCCGAGGAGAGGCTCCGCAGCCATTCCCGTGTCTCAGGGACGTTTCTGCCTTTCCCCCTCCCCTTTAGGAACTGCACTTTCAACTCCAGAAACAAACAAACAAACAAACAAACAAAAACTTTAAAACTAATTTAGTTCGCTCCCCTTAGGAAAAAAAAAAAAAGAGCAACGATTGTTATTTTTTTTTCCTCCCGCCCCTGCTCGATGCGTTTTTTTCATCCTGGTGAGATTGTTTCAAAAAAAAAAAACAGGAAAAAATATAAATTTCGGGCATTTTTTTTTTTCTTTTCCCCACCCTTTTATTTCCTGTTTTTCTCTTCTTGCGAAGAGGCACCCAAGACGCTCGAAGCCTCTGCAAAGACCCAAACCCCGAGGAAAAAAAAAAGACGAAAACCAAAAAAAACCCCTATTTCCTTCTCCGGTTTTGCACTATTTCTGCTTTACAGGGTTTTATTTTATTTTTTTGTTGTTTTTCCACGCGATTTTTGCTGCTGCCGGCGGAGGAAGGGAGGGGATTTGTTATCGGATCTGACCTCGGGGGGCTCTGCTGGCGGGAGGTGCGAGGATGGATGGGGATGAGGTTTTTTGGGATGAGTTTTTTCCAGCCTCAAAGCTCGGAGCGTTCCTCGCAGCCTCTGGGGTTTATCGGAGCCAGATAAAGCCGCAATTTAAGCGCGGCCCAACTCCCTCCCCTCCCTCGCCAGGAGCTCCAGGACTGAAACTGCTGCTAAAAATGGAATTATCCCCAAAATCCCGGCCGGAATCTCCTCTTCCCCCTCCTCGACACGGAACTACCTCAGCCCAATAAAGTTGTTTTGTTTTTTTTTTTCTTTTTTTTTTTTTCCACAACTCCCATCTTTCCAACCCAACGGGGGTCTCTGGGAATCGCGGGATGCGGGGCGGGGGAGGCTGCGAGGGAGGAGGAAAGAAGGAAGGAAAATCTCCGGCTGTTTCCAACATCCCAAACAAAAGGGCCGATCCCTTTTCCTGCCGGACCATCCCTGGAATCGGGCCCGGCTTCCCAAAAACTTGGAATTCCCCACTCATTTCGCGGCCTGATGGGAGCAGCAAATCATCCTCAGGCTGAAAATCCCGGGAATTCTCATCCCTGGCGCTGCCGCAGCAACCGGGACGCGCTCGGGGGCTGCGGGGATAGAAACAAATCCTGATTTATTCCAAATTTACGCTCCTCAAACCCCAAAAACAGAAGCTTCCAACGCGGTTTGTTATCTCCAGCTCCCCCAAGGCGAGCCCTAAAAGGGAGATTTTCCACAGAATAAATGAAATTTCCAGGTTTTACCTCCAGGGAGGCTCGGAGCGGGGCAGGGGGGGAGGGAGGAAGAGCGGGGCCG